CGTGTTTGTTTCAGTTTTCTGCCAAGGAAGACAGAAAGACAAACTTAGTGTATGATGAGAATCTGAATTAGATTGAAACTTTTAAGAACGCTAGGGGATACTCACAGACCGATGACTAGTAGACATACAATCCACATGAGGTCATTTATTGGCTCTTAGTGGTTTTGACTTAAATCCATGATACCACCATTCAATAACCGCCTATACATTCTTGAGAAATTCAGGCCAACCCAGCTAATCGTCTGTTTATCTGTCCATTTTCACTTGAGTGGAATTGGCAATCAAATAAGCGACATCAGTAAATTCCATAGTCCACCCGTCCGCCTGTTAAGTACTAGTTAAATTGATGAAGCCATGCGGAGACGCCAACTGACCGCCTTACTATGATCTCATGCCCACTTTTTCCCCTCCCCGTGATCCCCATGTTTCTTTATCCACATCTCCTGGGGACCTTCGTGACAAGATGACTTCTAAAATTGCTCAAAGTTTGAAGCAGCCGGCTCTGGACTTTTTGTCCTTTGTCAATGCGTCTCCTACCCGTAATTATATTACGTTCTATACTATTATAAGGTAGTCGATTGCTGACTTTGCTGTAGCGTTCCATGCCGTTCAGTCGGCAAAGGAACTCCTTGCCAAGGCTGGCTTCCAGGAGATCAAGGTATGCGATGGCTGCATTGTATCACGGAATTGACCGCTAATTCCCGGTACAGGAGAAGGACTCTTGGGCGTCGACCTGCCGGCCTGGTGGAAAGTACTACTTGACCCGTAACCAGTCCACCATCATCGCTTTTGCTGTCGGCAAGAAATGGAAGGTATAGTTCTGCCATTGTCAATGATCTGACCTTGGTGCTAATCATTTCAATTGATTAGCCTGGTAACCCCATTTCGATGATCGGTGCTCACACCGATTCTCCCGTCCTGAGAGTCAAGCCGGTCAGCAACAAGCGCGGGGAAGGATATGTTCAAGTGGGCGTGGAGACTTATGGAGGCGGCATCTGGCACACCTGTCCGTGCTACTGAATCACTTTGACTATATCATGCTAACTGTCTATAGGGTTCGACCGTGATCTGGGTGTTGCAGGTCGGGCTATGGTCCGCAATGGCGACGGTTCGATTGTGCAGAAGCTGATCAAGATTGACCGACCCAGTAAGTTCGTTCGACCTTTGTACAACCAGTCTTCTCTGACTAGGCATAGTTCTCCGCATTCCCACTCTGGCCATCCATCTGGACCGCCAGGAGACTTTTGCCTTCAACAAGGAAACCCAGCTGTTCCCCATCGCAGGTCTTGTTGCTGCTGAGCTGAACCGTACCGGTGCCTCCGAGGAGACTGACAAAGCGGCCAAGGAAGCCAACGAGGACAAGGGCGACTTGTCTCCTCTGAAGGCCATCACCGAGCGCCACCACCCTTACCTGGTTGAGCTTATTGCTGCCGAAGCCGGTGTCAAGCCCCTCGATGTCCTTGACTTTGAGATGATCTTGTTCGATACCCAGAAGTCGAACCTGGGTGGTCTGCTGGAGGAGTTCATCTTTTCGCCTCGCCTGGACAACCTGAACAGCTCTTTCTGTGCCACCGTCGGCTTGATCGACTCTGTGGCTGACTCCTCAGCGTTGGACGAGGAACCCGCTATCCGTCTCATTGCACTCTTTGACCACGAGGAAATCGGAAGCCGCACTGCTCAGGGTGCCGACTCGAACATCCTCCCCTCCGTCATCCGTCGCTTGTCCGTGCTCCCGTCGACGGCCGGCGCTAGTGACGACATCGCCACTGCTTACGAGCAGACCTTGTCTACGTCTTTCCTACTGTCTGCTGATATGGCCCATGGAGTTCACCCGAATTACACGGCCAAGTATGAGAACGACCACCGGCCCCAAATCAACAAGGGCCCTGTTATCAAGATCAACGCCAACGCGCGCTATGCGACCAACTCGCCCGGTATCGTTCTTCTTCAGGAAGTCGCTCGCAAGGCTGGGGAAGATGTTGGCGAAAAGGTTCCCCTGCAGCTGTTTGTTGTCCGCAACGACTCCAGCTGCGGAAGCACCATTGGCCCAATGCTGTCTGCAGCGCTTGGCGCTCGGACATTGGATCTGGGTAACCCCCAGTTGAGCATGCACAGTATCCGTGAGACGGGAGGTACCCTCGATGTGGCACACTCGATCCGTCTGTTCACTGGATTCTTCAAGCACTACGCCAATCTTTCCAAGACCATCTTTGTTGATTAGATAGTTAAGTCTACGGGTGGGTGAAGGTTATATAAGAAGCATAAGTATATCTTTGTTGCATCATTCTGGAATAATTTTCGAGAATAAGCAAACAACCTTTCCTCCATACTAGATCGCCATAGTAAGATTATCATTGGTGATAAGTTATAGTTTAACCCCGGATGTTGCCAGATGCAGCGCTCCGGGCCGAGAAAAGTCCGCAGCCACCTGATCCACATCATCGGCCATCATCGTTGCCGGTGACGCTCCACCTCCAACTCCCTCCGTCTCTCCACCTGAAACACCACCCTAACTACTCCATCTTCCCCCCCATCACCTCGTCCCCCCGGTCTACACTGGCCCCCCTAGACCTTCCCCTCTCACTCCTCCACCCCCAACGCCATCCATGCCCCCATGACCCTCTATGACCACTCCGGACGCCTATCGAGATGCGGAATACATCGCTGACGTGTCCGGCATCATCGACCCTCATGGCGGCGCCAGCGCCAACTCTACCAGCCGTACCGAGCGCCTGAGAAAGGTACAGACGGCCGCGAAAGTCGCGTTCATTGACCGACTCCTCCGCGACCTCGACATCCTTATTTACTGTGAGCTTTCAGCGTTGTATTATATGGAGTGAGCAGAATCCACGCCCCCGCCCCCGCAACTCCGCACGAGCGGAGGAGCCCCCATACATAAAGTATAATCCATCAAAAAAATAAGTCATAGTGACTAACAATTCACGATCCACAGCTGCTCGATAATTCTCTTCGCCCTCCGCGCAATAATTCAACTTATCTTCTTCACTCCCAAAGCACCCCCCTTTGACCCTACGAGAAACCAACCCTTCGTCGGCGCTATACTGGGTAGTAACCTCTTCTGCATCATCTTTCATAAATTCTTTACTAGACCCGAAGCTAGCGAATCGACGCGCGGATACCTGCATGGCGGGATCTTGATTGACTTTATTGGACAGAAGGCGCCCATCCCGTTCGCTAGACTTCTTTTCTTGGATTGTCTCATTTTGTTCCTGGATCTGGTCATGTTGGGGTTGATCGTTGAGCGGGTGAAGACGGTGGAGGTTACTGCGAGTGCGCCGGTTGAGACCACGCCTGAGGGGGAGGAAGAGCGACAGGATCATGATCTGGAGGAGAGGGGGGTGCGAGGGAGTGGGCCTTCCACGAGATCCTCGTCGCGAACATTGGAAGATGATGAAGATGTGGAGACAATTGAACTGGGCGAGATGGAGAGGACGCAGTTGCTGGCTGATCCGGAGGAGGGAGGGAGGAATGCACAGCACGCCCATCCTATGGATACGTTCGTGTCGGGCCAAGCAACGATCATGGATGTGGGATTGGTTGACCTTGTCCGTGACCAGTGGCGATACAGCCCTGCGACAGCGCGGCGGACAACGCCGTATGTGCCTTCTGACCAGACCGCGGCGTTTCTGAGAGAACGGTTCGGCATCCGAGTTGGCGCGGATGGGCGCATGGAGCGGATTGCGACGGAGGCGTGATATAGTGTAATGTAATGAGTTAGATGAGTTGAAATTTGTACATATACCAATGCTTATACGATGGATACATGATTAACCATGTACAGATCGATTTACCTAGAAACCTCAAATAAAATATCCTATATTGCAACCATACCATAACTTCATCACAAGTACCAATACAAACAAAAACACATAACCACAAAACAAAAAAGGGTATACATCCTCACGGAATCGCCTCACCCCCCTCCGCACCCGGCGGCCCCCTCCTATCCAAAATCTCATCCACAATACCCATATCAAGCGCCTCCTTCGCACCCATAAAATAATCCCTCTCCATCAACTTCTCAATCTCATCCAACGTCATCTCCTTCTTTCCCGTCAAATGCCTCTTATAAATCTTATTCAACTGGCTCCGCACCCTGAGTATCTCCTTCGCATGGATGGCAATATCACTCGCTTGGCCGAAATAACCCCCGGACGGCTGATGCATCATGATCGAGCTATGCGGCAAGCAGAACCGCTTGCCCGGGTGTCCTCCACAGAGCAGCAACGAGCCCATCGAGGCGGCTTGGCCCACGCAGATCGTGCTCACGGGGGAGGCGATGTAGGTCATTGTGTCGTAGATGGCGAGACCGGCGGTTACGGACCCTCCGGGGGAGTTGATGTACAGGTGGATGGGCTTCTGGGGGTTGTCGGCTTCGAGGAAGAGGAGTTGGGCCACGATGCTGGCGGACATGGTTTCGTCGACTTCGCCGTTTAGGCAGATGATTCGTTCCTGTACTTTGTTAGGATCGGGATGGGGGATGGGGTGGAGGGGTGGGTGGGATGTACCTTGAGGAGACGAGAGAAGATGTCGTCTGTGATGGGAGTGTAGGTGGTTAGTTAGCTGTGGTAAGGTACTGTGGTCGCTGCAGTAAACGTACATGTGTGCCATCCTCCTCCCTGTTTTCAGTTAGTATAACCATACATCTATCATAAAAAATAATGTGCACACTCACCACAGTCTCAGTAACAAACGGCGTCGGCGTCCACCCCCGCGGAGACCGGGCACCTGATAGCGTCGGAACAGAGCTGGCAAAGCTGCGCGACAACAGCGTCGGCTTGACAGTCTGGCGGCCAACGACGCGAGCTAATCGCTGAAGGGGACGTGTTGCGTTCATTATGAGCAGCAATATACCCCAATGGTGAACGGAGTTGATAGAGCAGGATCGGGAGAAGACTCTATGAAGAAGATGATGACGGTTGGAGATCTGGTCCGCCGGCGGAGCTCCCAGATCCCGCCGAAGCTTAGCGCGTCCGACAATGTCTCTCTCCGCCGCCGCCGCCTTTTTTCCCCGATTCCTCAAAACTATATTCTCTCTCCTCACCACCCACCACGCCATGGCGTGTCTCAACAGCCGGATCTCATACGCTTCCTGGCGTCTGAGGGTATTCCGGCAGCTCTTCCGGCCGAATGGCTCTCCTGAGGTGGGATATCGTGCTATATCAACCGCCAATGGCACACGGGAACCTCTCCGTCCGACGGCCTCCTCCGCGGACAAGACATTGAAGTCTACCCCGACAGAAAATAAAGAAGCTGCTGCTGCTGCTGCTTCTGAAGAGGAGGAAGGATCAAAGCAGCATCTACGCCCCTCCTCACTCCTCCCCCAATCCCCCCTCCTCACCAACCCCCGCCCCGGCCACGACAAGCTACACAAGAAGAAACGCCGCCCCGACCCCAAAGAATCCGACATCCACCTGAACCCCTGGGCACAAGCCCTCGCCTCTCCTCTCCGAGCCTGCAAAGTAACCGGCGCGCGAGTCCCGCGCGCCTTCATGAGCGAATGGGGGTTTGTACAGCGTCCCGACGTCGCAGACAAGCTCTGGCTGCTTCCGGTGGGACTCATGAAGGACAAACTATATCCCTCTTCCACAACTCCTTCCCAAGAAGAAGGACATATCGAAGACGACAACGACAATCACAACAAGGATAACGTCAAGAATAACACAACCCGCCACCTAACCCTCCGCATCATCGACCGCCTCCCCCTCCTCCGCACCCTAACCTCCACCTACTGGAGCACGAAAACGAACCGCAAGCGCGAACCACTGGCCAAACTCCTCCCACACCGATGGAAACACCCCCTCGGTCCCGTGACAAGCTGGGAAGAATCGCAGCTCTCCTTACGAGAAGACACACCGACCTTCACGCTTAAAATGATGCGCCGGGACGTGGTTCAGAAACTCAAAGCGGCGTGCGACCCGCCCGATACGCAGCCTGAAGCGAAGCGCCGTGTGTGGACGGTTCTGCCGGTGAGCAAGTACGGGCGAGCTCATATAGCGCGGAGAACGTGGTCTATGGAGCCGTTTGAGCGGATGGAGTGTTGTGGGGTGTTGGTGAATAATCGCCGGAGGGGGAAGCCGGGGAGAGTCACGGGGCTGTGGCCGCGGATGCCGGAAATAGTGTGTATATCGAAGCAGAAGAAGGTGGCGCCGGTGTTTGATTTGACGGTGATGTTGGGGGAGGAGGAGTTGGCGGAGTTGAAGGAGTATTGTCCGGGGCTTTTTGGAAAGACGGCGGTGGTGTTGAGGCCGGATAATAAGGTGACGGTGGAGGCGATGTTGGCGCTGTGGAGGTTGAGGGGGTTTATTAGGAGTGATGGGGTGTTGGAACCGCCTAGGATGGAGGTTAGGTTGAGGAGTAAGTGGAGGAGTAATTATCTTCTATAACATAACTTTACTCTGTATGTATGTATGTACGTCTATCACAGCTACTAACTATACCCTCAACCACACCACAACCCATCTACCTACTACCAATCTACTACTGATCAACAACCAACAAATCCGCCAACCGATCCAAATAAACCTTCGGCCTCACATCCCCCTCCACAAACTCCTCCTTACTACTAACCCCCGTCAACACCCCCAACGTGCCCCCAAGCCTCCCCTCAATCCCAAACCTAATATCAGTATTCGCCCGATCCCCCACCATACACGCCCTACTGCGATCAAACCGAAACTTCCCCTCAATAGCATCCATCATAGCCTGATTCGGCTTCCCAAGGGACGTCGGCTCCTTCCCCAACATCATAATCAACGGCGCGCTCATACTACCCGCACCGGGAAACAAGGTCCCAGAGTTCGGCAACGTCGAGTCAATATTCGTAGCCAGGAAGACCGCGCCCCGGCGAACATAGTGATACGCGAGGGCGAGCTTGAAGTAGTTGATGTGGAAGTCCAGACCGACAAGCACGACGCCGACCTCCGGGTCGAGCAGCGTGGAGGCGTCCCCGGATGCGATGTCCTTGTAGTCTTGCGGGGTGATTTCGCGCCGGTAGGCTGGGTCGGTGCCGCCGATGAAGGGGACGTTCTCGGACGCGAGTTCTTGCTCGATGCCGGTTTCGCCGATTACGAAGACTTTACGCTTGTTGGGGGGGAGGGAGAGGATGCGGGAGATGTAGATTGAGGCGCTGTAGGAGGAGGAGAAGATTTCTTCCTGTTCGTTGAGATTAGGGTTAGGTGGGTGCTTTATTGTTTAGTGGGATTGACGTACAGTGTTGCTGGGGATTCCTAGCGCTGTGAGCTTCTTGTTGTAGTCGGCGCGTGATTTGGTGCTGTTGTTGGTTACGAAGACGACTTGTTTGCCTGGATGCTTGTTAGCTCTTTCTCTTCGATGGTATTAATGTATGACGGAGGTATACCCTTTCTCCGCAGCATCTCAAGAGTCTCGTTCGTGCCGGGGAAGAGGTGGTCGCCCGACCAGAGGACGCCTGCATGCGCATCATGTCAGTAAGTATGTATGTATGGGTCAGTCGGGAGAGCGCGGAGGCGCATGGGTATGCGACGGACCATCACAGTCGAAGAGGAAGACCTGATGCCATTGTCAGTAAATCTATATTTTGTATGCTTCCAAATATACCATCTAGTCAGTAGTAAGGCATGGTGTGACTCACATCGAACTTGTCGAGGAATTCCTGGATGCCCGCAGCGTCGCCGGTCAAATAGCGGGGTGTATGCGTCGACGCGGGGTATTCCGAGGAGAGAGCGGAAGTTGCCATGTTGGCTGTCTATGGTATTCAGTCTATGTCGGAAGGAATAGTAAAAGGGACTGTTTCCGGTTCTAATAAGCAGACGCAAGGAATGGCCGAATTGCTTGCCAGAAAGTAGAATGACTCGAGCGGCGTACAGCAATCCGGGTCTCGGTGAGAACAGCGAGCGGGCCGCACGTGAGGGGCCGGGGGCGGATATCCCAGCCCTACAAATGAACTACAAAGTGCATGAAAGTTGGTATAGAAGTGATGTGGATGCTTTTAGCTCGTTCATTATTATATCATACAGTCGTAATCTCCAACTCCACTCCGACCAAAAACACATCGAATGGAGCAGCACGTCTGCTGTATCCCGCGGACTGGTAGCGGCCGCAACTGTAGTTCAGCTCACTGCAAATGTGGACGACGTCGCATATCCTCGCGGCCTTGTATCTCCTGATATCATCAGGTTGTATGGCTGGTCGCCAGCTCTTCCACATCGTATTGGAGGAGTCTCGGCGGAAAAGCCCTGTTTCAGAAGTAGAGTAGCCCAGGGGCCTCAGGCTCTCCAACCTGATCTAAGCTCCTCCGAGGATGCCAGAGATCTTGAGGGCTATATCCAAGATAGATAGGTGCTCATCCGCACCATCGACCAGACGTCGATCCATATCCGAGAACGCCATAACGATCTTGTTCTTCTGGATATCAGGGATCGCATCGTTGAACACCACCCGTCGATACAACTACCCAAAATTAGCATCAATGAACTCCCGCTGCGTCCAACCACATACCTGCAAAAGAAGCTGCGTTGCACTCCACCCATCAGCAATGATGTCTGTAACCACCTTCGCAACAGCCTCATAGGAGGACCCGATCTTCTTCGGCTGCATTGCCTGCACCAACGCATCCAATACGCCCTCCGGAACAACACCAGCAATCTCCTCAATCGTCCGAATAGTAATAACCTCCGACTCCTGGTCCGTCATCTCCTCATCCTCATCCTCGTCCTTCTTCCCAGCCCGGCCAGCCCCAACCAGCTTAGCCGCACTCTGCATATACGTAATCGCACGTCGCATATCACCCTCACTGCAAGCAATCAACTTATCGACAACCCCATCCTCCAACCTCAAATTCTCCACCTTGGCAATATGCTCCAATCTCTCCCCAGCCGCGGAATTATCCAGCGCCTTGAACCGGAACTTGCTGCAACGACTAGCAAGTGGCTCGATAATTCTTGTGACGTAGTTGCAAACCAAACAGAAACGGGTGATCCGACTATACTGCTCCATTGTGCGACGCAACGCAGACTGCGCATCCTGCGTCATACTGTCCGCCTCATCGAGAATAATAATCTTGAACGGCGGGCACGGGTATTGCGCCAGGTATTCCTCGCCCAACCCCGTAGAGTGTGTGAGTTGCGCACGGGCAAAGTTCTTGATCTTGTCACGTACGATACCGATACCACGTTCGTCGGAGGCGTTCAGTTCGAGAATGCGCGAGCGGTAGAGGGAGGGTCCGAAGAGGGATTTGGCGAGGGCGAGGATGGTGGATGTTTTTCCGGTACCTGGCGGTCCGTAGAAGAGCATATGGGGGAGCTGGATACTCGTTAGCAGGGTGTCGTTTCTCACTGACGAAGGGGTTCATTTCGTACGTTGGAGGCTTGGAGTGTTCGTTGGAGGACTTTTGTTGTGTGATCTTGAGCGGCGACATCATCGAGGGTTTTAGGACGGCTTTCTAGATGTCAGCACGAGTGCTATATTTGATCCAAAAGGTGGCATACTATTTCTCAACCCATGGTTGTTGCTTGGCTTGTTCTTCCTTGCTATCTGTGGGCTTCGGTTTCGAAGGGTTCGCTGCTGCCGCCGCAGCGCGAGCCTTGTTGTTGAAGAAGTTCGCAGCCATGGCTTTGAGAGTGAGTACCAGACTGCAGCACTGCGATTGATTGATTAATGGTATAGCGGAAGCTGCTGTCGGAGCTCTGGCACACGGGCGGAAAGCGTGTCGGGACGCGTCTCCACGTGATACGCGATGGCGCCAAGCCATTTATTGTTCGCTTGAGGCCGAGGCAGTGATCTAGTATCTATAGAGTTGATCTAGATTTACGTAGGCAATTAAGCTCGCTGTAAGAAGCTAATGAGCAGGTACACTTCTGCGCTTGGCAGTCATCATCACACATTACTTTCTATCTATAGTTCGTCCCTCTGCTGTGGTATATCCGTCGCCTCAAACATCCTCTTCTTAGGATTCCGGGGCAACTCCGCCTGCCTTTGCCTTTCCTCTTCAGAAATGTCATCAATGTTGGTCTCCTCCTGCTCCTCGCTTTCTTCCACCATTTTGCCGATCTCATCGATTAAGCGGTCCTCCTCTGCCTCATCCGCAACCGGAATTTGATCCCATACCGCTTCGCCCTCAGCGCTTTGAACGTTCGGCTCCACCTTGTGCTCAACTACTGGAGTCTCTTGCGGCACATATTCGAGCATCGTACTAGGTTCAGAAGACTGAACAGCCTTACCAGTAATCCCAACGACGCCCAAAATAGCAAACGTAAACCTCGCGAACAGCCTGATGGGCAGCCAGACAAGCCACCACAAGGGACCGTATAATATCCGCCTGAAGACAAGCCAAATAATGGTGCCCACCAGAATGTAGAAAGCCGTCTCAAGGTACCACGTATCCGACTTTTGCGAGCGGAGCAAAGACCCGATGAGGTTGCGCGACGACGAAATCAGAGAATCGAGATCTGTGTAAGATTCTGACAGCGAGGAAAGCGCAGCAGTCGATTGTTCTAACCCAATATTGTTAGCCATTACTCCGACAAGTCTTTATGATAAACCAGCACAAACCTAACGTCTCCTGCGCAAACTGACTCCGCGACAGCTCCGCCTGCATCAGCTGATGCGTCCGTCTCAGCGCAGCCGTAACATCATTCGAAGCATTCATGACGATATCATCCTGCGTCAATTTCTCACTCGACTGCTTCTTCCTCTCCGCACTTTGAGATCTCGTGAATAGTAACTCTCGCTCTTTTCGTCGGGCAACTTCAGCGTTCCGTTTCGCTTGTAATTGTGCGTTCCGGAAGTCTCCTCTCGTTCTGTCATAGACATAGCACACGTATTAGTATATCATCCATCAAGAACAGACACAGAACAATAATTAACTCCACTTACCTCTTCAAATCATCCGCCAGTCGTCCAGCCAAGGCGATGACCCGTTCTCTTTCCGACTCCTTCTCATTATCCACACCCTTGCGCCGCGTATCCGCTGCAGCCTCCAGAGCCTCGACTTCGACCTTCAGCAACTCCAATTGCTCCTCCGCTTCTTTCAGACGAGTATGGATTTCCGTCCCCAGTTCCAGACGAGGCTGATCTCCCTGTCCAACCGCAGTCGTGAAGCCCTTTAACCGAGAAACCAGGGGATGTATATGAGACAGAGCTGTGGAGAGCTCTTTCAAGCGAGCTTGTAAATCGGTGATGCCGGACATTTTGCGTGTGCGATGATGTAGAAGTAGTAGTAGATATCGCAGGAAAAGTACAATAATTATACAGAAAAGTGCCTCGCTACAGCATCCACAAGAGCCCGATCCCCAAACAAACCAAGACACCGAAGAAGAAAAGACAGGTGAGAATCAAGAGGGGGGAAAAGGCGGAGATGGCCAATGTGTCCGCAACTTACTTTACAGCGTCATCGCGCCCGTTCCTGAGGCCGCCGCCGCCGCCGCCGATCTACCTCCCGTACCACGGCACATGTTTGCATGTTAGACAAACACCACCCAGCGACCGACCGACCGCGCTGCGCATCCCGGAGAGCGGACGGATTTGAAGATAGTTGAAGTTATCCGTGAAGGGTGATTATTTTCTCCGCTCGATTCCCTAGAAATCATACACCACACCACGCAATTACCTCAATTACATAGTCAAGGTCAATTCCCTTGACTCATAAAACTCATACCACCTTTCTACATCTCCAAACACCTACAAGGTACGTCTCCCAAACCCCATCAAAAACCATATAAACTAACAATTAAAAAAAAGACTCTCCAATCCTACAACAAAACCACCGCCAAAATGACCATCCCTCTCTCAACAATCTCCACCTTCCGCACAACTTTCAACCCTTTCCTTCGCTCCGCCCGCCCCTGCAGACTCATCCTCTCTCTCCTCCGCAATCCCACGACCACGCCGGCCTCCAGCCCCGGCCACATCGACATCAAGGTCACTCAGCTGCCGCGGTCGTCGACGCAAGAGCCCGAGTTGACGATAGGGTTCAAGAATGGCAAGGAGTTGAAGATTGAGGTTGGAAAGCGCCAGATGAAGATTGGGGATGTGGTTGAGGAGATTGCTCGTGTTGGGAGAGCTATTGAGCGTGAGGAGGCGCTGAAGTCTTAGAGTTTCTTTTTGTTTTCAGTGTTTGTTTTATTGGGTTTGCATGGATTGAGTGGTGTGCTTGCATCGGCATGAAATGAGGTTTGTCGTTGTGGCGCGGAGATTTCACTTGTCTGTCTGGTCTATCCTGTCTACTCGGGATTGGATGAGAGGCTGCGCAGTATGATTTGGGGGCTTTCAGGACCGAAGGGGTGATTGTGTCGGTCTGTTTGTACTTTGTACTATCATGTTCTGTATGTGTATGTGTATATATTAGCCATTGAGTGATACTCCATTTCTTTAGTGCTGGGTCCACCCGCTGTCCTTTAGTAGTAGTTTGGAAGAGCCAAAGAGCGCTTACATCTTGGCCGGATACGGTATCATATGTCTGACAATAACTACGATAAACTACGATAAAGAGACCAATATTGCACTTCTGTAAAATTTCCTCTAGGGAATGTGGTATTGTGGTATTTAAATTTTGTTATATAGGTACATTTAGACGGCGGCACCGGAGATGAAGAACCACTTGTCAACGCTGCCGTCAATGGGGGCAGGGGGGAGGTTCTCGCCCTTGGGGATGGCAGCGAGCTGAGCAGCGTCAGCACGCTCGGCACCCTCAACGGTGGTGGTAGCACTAAATGCAATTAGTATATCATCTTCCTAAGTGAGGACTCAAGGGTACTTACACGCTGATCTCACCACGGGGAGACTTGCCGGAGATGAGCTTCTCCCAGGCGTCAGCGCACTCGCGGATGACATCGAGAGCGTACCTATGGGTTGAACTGTTAGCCTTGATACATAATATAAAGCACCGTCAGCACGTACTTCTTGTTCTTGCACTCGCCGGAGAAAGCGAACTGGTTCTCGGGCTTTCCGTCGGGGATCTTGTAGATACGGAACCACTCGTTGGTGGCGCGGAGGAGGCCAGGGAGGTGGCGCTCAACATCCTCAACGTCGTTGAGCTTAGGAGCCAGGGGGTCGTTGATGTCGATGACAATGACCTTCCAGTCGGTCTCCTCCTCATCGAGAAGAGCCATCACACCGAGGACCTTAACCTGCTTGACCTGACCGGGGTAGCCGACGAGCTCACCGATCTCGCAAACGTCGAGCGGGTCGTTGTCACCCTTGGCCTTGGTCTCGGGGTGGACAGTGTTGGGGTCTTCCCAGGTCTATGTAAAAGGTCAGTGCGGGGTGGTACAAAATTTGACGTGGCGTTCTTTTACATACCTGGGGGAAGGCGCCGTAGTTCCAGAGGTAACCCTTGTGGGGGAAGCAGTTGCGGACGTAGCGGAGCTTGCCCTTCTTCACATCCTGCTTGATGGGGTTGAGGAACTCCTCCTTGGAGATCTGGGTCGCAAAATCAGTATACCGACGTCAAGCTACAGCGTAGCCCCCCACTTGCAAGGGGGGTTGTTGTGTGTATATTGTGGCGTCCGTACCTCCTGCTTGGCGTTGGTCCAGCGGGGGATCTCAACGACCATGTTGAGGATGGTCTGCTGCTCGTTGGCATAGAGGGGGATGTCGTGGAAGGGAGAGACGGGCTGGCCATCCTTCTCAATGTAAACACGGTGCTCCAGGGTGTTGGCCTGGCCGATCTTGCGGACGGTGTAGGACATGGTGGGCGATTGCGGCGGGGCAGCGGAGGTGGAAAAGTGTTTGAATAAAAGGGCAGCACGAGATGAAGCGGACGAAACCGAACGATCAACTCGAGAGGAGGAAGAGGGAGACAAAGCTGAAGCGGAAAGAGAAGAAGAGGAAAGAAGAGGAGGGGAGGGAGAGGAAGAGAGAGAGGGAGGAGGAGGGGGGGCTTGCTTGGTGGGGGGAGCCAGCGTTGCGGATGTGCGAAGGACGGGCGAACAGCCAGTACGCGCGAGGATCGGACAGGCGGTGGGTGGCCGGCTCAATGGATTCGAATTCAATGCGCGGCCTCCAACTTGGACTCCCTTGGATACCCTACGGACCCCCGGGAACATTGAAAATGGCTTTGAGGCTATGCCCGTGTTGAATTGGTTCAATTGACAACCGGACAAGGTGGGAATTCGTGCTCGTAGTCCACGGCGAGGTATAAAAAAGGGATGGGAATCGATGGAACTGCCACGGTCGGGAAGGAAAATCGGTCGGAAAAAGAGACCCAGCCTCGGGTTCTACTATTCCTTTTTCTTCTTTTTCCTCATGTAATAATTCTCGACTACTATCTGTTCAACCCGTCCCTAAGTATATCTTCAGTACGAAGTATTTGATGGCTACAGCGAAGGGGAAGCTATTCACACCCCTTCTCCAAGTCACACATGACCAGGCAATATACGTACTCTTTCCCAACCCTAGTTCCAACTAGTCATCAACCTGCTCCCACCCTCCATACCTGGCTGGATGCCCACCAACTCTGAGACTTTCGCCGCAGAATGACTGGTCCTGGATGGGTCTCCACCGCTGATGGCGTTCCACAGTCCTGGCTTGTGCTGTCCCTGAATGGTCTGACTGGTGGGATATTGCGACATTCCTGGTCCCAAGAATCCAGTAGCCAACCGGAGACCTTGCGATGGACTGACTGGTAGACTACTACTAGTACTGTAGCCAAAGTTGATGACTGAGGTTGTACAATTTATACTCTCCAGACTGTAGATCACCTTTCACTACACACACGTACAGAGTGTATGCAGGATCGTCTATCAAGGCAGTCGAATCTGTCAAATCTGTCACTGTCATCAACATTCAACATATCTCTGCAAGCTTGAACACCTGTCATGTTCACGGCTTGGCAGGTACCCGAACGGAGAGAAGACATGCGAAGTAACAATCCATTGTAACCTCACCAGAACCGATCAGGCAAATCCCCATGTGATCAGAAGTGACGGGAACAACCAGAGCCATGGATAAATCTAGAGCTCAGTCTACACTACCAGGGGCCGCAATGAGGTTGTGGCTACTTCCTAAAGGGGTAATATTGCAGTTATCTCCACTGCAAAGGCTCGATCAAACCCTTTCGATATAGGTCACATGATGTCTACCTATAGCGTATCGAGTATACCATGGCGTAATTGGCATATTGTTTTTCTCTAGTATAGTATATCCCTATCAGAATCTGATAGTGAGCCTCATAAGCCTTGAAAAAGGCGCACTTCCAGTCATCGCCTCTACACTCCGTCCCCATCTGTTCCCCATAGTGCTCTGGTACAGATCACATGACTTGGCAGGGGAAGAAAAAAAAGTTATCGGGTATCGCCACGTGACCCGGCATTTTTCGTCTCCGCCTCCACCGGCTTTGATCCATCAGCGATCTTGTATGCGACTTGATTCATAATATCACTCTACTACACTCCTACGGGCTCATACCGCTCACACAGCTCGTTCATCTTCCACACTACACTATCCTTACTCCCGTCAACCCGATAATGCTATGCTAAGATTCCTCCGTACCGCAATGGCTTCTCTCACCACTCCTCCCCGCGTCCCCATCCCCGCCAACGGGGTCGACTACCGTGGCAAAGTAGTCCTAGCCCCCATGGTGCGCTCCGGCGAATTACCCTCCCGCCTCATCGCCCTCAAGTACGGCGCTGATCTCGTTTGGGGCCCCGAAACCATCGATCGGGCCATGGCAGGCGCCGTCCGCCGCGTGAACCCCCGCAACGGCACCATCGAATTCACCCGCATGCCCTCCAACGGCGGCCGCACCGAAAAGGCAGGCCAGGAATCCGTGATCTACCGTCTCGACCCCGTCCGCGAGAAGGGCAAACTCATCTACCAGATTGGCACTGCCACGCCTGAAATCGCCGTCGAAGCAGCCAAACTCGTCGCCGGCGATGTCGCCGGTATCGATGTGAACTCGGGATGTCCGAAGCCCTTCAGCACGAGCGGTGGTATGGGTGCGGCGCTTCTCAAGACACCGGATAAGTTGGTTGCGATTTTGGAAGCCCTGGTGAAGGAGGTCGGGACACCGTTCCAGATCGGTATTTCGGTCAAGATCCGCATCTTGAAAGATCCGGAGGAGACGAGGGCTTTGGTCTCGCGGCTCGTGAAGACAGGCATTACAGGCTTGACTGTGCATTGTCGGACACCTCCCATGAGGCCCCGTGAACGCGCTATCCGTGATCAGGTGCGCATGATTGCCGACATCTGTCATGAGGCTGGTGTCGCATGTGTCATAAACGGTGATGTAACCTCCAAGGATGAGGGACACGCCTTAATGAAAGAATTCGGCGTCGACGGCGCCATGATCGCCACATCCGCAGAAGCAAACCCATCCTGCTTCCGTACCGAAGCTGAGGGCGGCCTTCTCCCTTGGAAGGAGGTAGTCCACGAATACATCAAGTTCTGTCTCGAGTCCGAGAACCGCTTCGGCAACTCCAAATATCTCCTCAACATCCTCGTCCCCGGCAAGCTCCAGGAAGGCAAGAACGCTAAGGCAGCCAGATCTTACGCCGACACATGCCATGCCCTCGGATTCGAGGATCTCCTTCCCCTCGCCATGCACGTGGACGACATCCTCAACCTCACCGACAAGTCCGTTACCACCAAAGACCTCCAGCCCGAACACATCCGCAGCAAGGCCGTCCAGAACGCCATGGAGAACAACGAGTCCGCACGGGCTGCTGGCGGTGCCTCTCGCGTCAAGTCTACCTCTCCCGCAGTCAGCGCAGGCGGACCAATTCGCACCAACTCCATCCCAGCTCCTACGAAGACCAAGGCTGAGGCGGAGACCCAGGTTGATGTCTCTGTTCCGGCTCCTGATGCTGCGCCCCAAAAGCAGGAGCTGACAGCTTAACTCAACCTGATGCCTCTGCATCCCTTGCTTCCTTGCCTTGCCTTTCTTCCCCTGCCTTTTTGGTTTTCAAGCTCCTATCGCATTATCTGGTGTTAATTATTGGTTCCCCCATTTGCTGCATTTCGAATAGATTCCCACGGTGTGTTGTTAATAGAGGCTCTCGTGTTCTAGGGATTTTACATACATAGTACTACACGAATATATACGAATCAAAATTACTAGTTAGTCATTGTCTAGCTGCCAGCTTAGTAGTCCGCAT